CGACCTTCACGCATCCGAGTCACAGTTGGTTCATGTTGAAACAGAAATTCGTCAAATGCCATGTCTAATAGCATTTGGTCGAATCCTTGTCTGTGGACCTTAACTGTCATAAGGTCCCAGTTAATCCGCGGAGCATTGAAATCTCTTACAACAATAATGTTTTTCTTGCGACCATCCTCGCGGAGTCGAGTGATTAACGCTTGATCTTCGTCGGCAGGTTGATTGGGAGGCCTATATACAACGGTGACAGTAACGTTTTCGGCTTTTGGGACCAGCAAATGACACAGCAGCATCTCCAGATCATGCGCATTCACACATTCTTCAACAGGGTTATATTCGACCGCATTGCTGATATATAGGGCAACTCCGCCACCTCGCTTTTCGGTTCGGTCTCGTCTTAGCACTTGATAACCATCTAACTGTATTTGGGGGTCTGTGACATCTGGGGTGGGCCACGTTTCAGTTAATGCAATAACATCAGGACATAGTTCGGCCACAATTATTTTACGTTCGTCGAGTTTGTTCAAGAGGCTTTGTAGATTTCCGTAGAAGGACTTAATTTTATGTAGGTTATTGCTTCGAATTAGTTACCCTGACGTGTGGCCTTCGTCCAGTATGACAGACGTCCTCCACAGGAGGGGTTTTTGTCGTCGAACAATCACTCCGTTCATTATTACTAGTCCCTTCTCTCCTTGTTCTTTCAAGGTCGCCAGCTCCGCCATCAGCGCCCTCCATTTCATTCTCTCTTGTACTGAGTAATCCGATTGAATAAAAGACCTCTATGGCCAGGGATCCCCCCTAGTATTCGTTCACGTAGAAGATCCCTCTGGAGTTTACTTTCTAAAATTATCTTTAAAGGTCTTGGTTTCCTCCCTTGAGAGCTCGCGCTATTTTTATTGTTTAGTCGGAAAAGTTTCAGAATCTTAATTGCTTCATTTTCTTTTATTATGCTACCCAGACACTCTTGCAAGGTCATGATATCATCATTTATCCTGTATCTGGGGTTATTGTTGGTTGATTCACGAAGTCCATGGACGACTATGCATTGTAATCTGTCCACAGCACCTCCATCCGACGAATTGGTCTGACCGATGATGAGGCTTCCCCAATGTGGGCTCCAACGCTAGTTGCATGAATATTCGTGAGAGTATGTACTTCTACTCCCACTCTGGGTTCATTTTTTTTCGGTCTTGCGTTGGTCGATGCTGCTCCCCTCACATTAGGCTCGGGAGATGCGCATACCGTCTGGGGACTGTTTTCCTCTTTCGTCGGTCCATCTTTATCATTTTCACGCTCGGCCCTCGGTTTCCTTTCTGGCTAAAAGACCACTTTCAGACGTCAGTCTTCAAGTACTGCTTAATATACTCGTTTTCTGTATGAACAGACATTCCGTACATCTAAAACTGGATTTTACACGATTGCAATCATTTTTGACTTTTTTGGAATTTTCTGCTTTTCTCAACAAATCCATATTTCTAAGCAATCTGCCATTATCTTTGATTAATATAGACATAGGGTGAATGCATTGGTGTCGGTTAGCGAGTAATTAGCCGTCACACAAAAACAGACACACACACACGACAGTTCGATCGTCGATTTCGACGATGTCCACCGTGTGCCCCACAGCTGCAGCAGCGGTGGGAGCGGGGACAGTGACTTGCGCAGGGGTTTATAGTGCCAGTAGACTTGCGCTGCATCTACCTACACTCTCTCCTCCTCCCCCACCTGAGCCCGGTGTCAAGACCAAGTCAAGAAGACCGGAGACGAGGGAGGCCGCAGGTGGATGGCTTGGACGGATCCTCACCTTGGCGCTTCACTCCGCACCCCCAGGTCCACAAAACAATGAGGTGACAGCAGTGGTCCAGTTGTTCGACGACTGCCGACAACAGAGTCTGCCAGCGCACCCCGAAAGTGTTGGAATTTGTTATAGTGTGCGATCCGATAACGCCTGCCAGAATCCGATATGGCCCCCGTGTTGGTCCAGCGCACCTAACCCGTGGCTCGTTTGGAGGGCACACAAACACATGCGTAGAGTAGTCGTACCGTCTGTGATGAGCAATCACCACCTCTCAAATGTACTTCTGTCCGCCTTCCCCCCCCCTCCCCGCTTTAGGTTTACCGCGATAGCCTTCGATCCGCCGGGCTGCGGTTTCAGCACTCCCCCCGTCCGCGATTGGAGTGATCCCGAGGTTCTGCTGCAGGATGCCAGAGTTGGCGTGAATTTGATGCGCCAGCTGGGTCATCTGCCCTTTTCCTGCATCGGCTGGTCAGAGGGCGCCCTGTCAGCCATCCGAGCAGCATCGGAGTTGAATATGGACGGTCAGTCACATTTTGAGTGGCTCACTCTGCTGCTGCTGCTGGTGGCGCATTAGCTTATTTGTTGTTCTAGAATGCGCATATTGTGGACACTGTCAAATGGCCAGTTGCCTGGCCTCATGATTTGATTACGTGTACTCCTTAAACACACACACGCACACAGCGCGGTGAATGCAACCAAACTAGTTCAAATTTACCTCTGACTACTGTGAAAGCCTGAAAGGACACATCAAGAAACAGCCCTTTCAGCCTGACCTTCCGTTCTGGGAAGTACCGAGGTGCCCCGTCAAGCTACCACTCCTAGTTCGTCATGGCACATTTAAGTGTGCCAGTTTTATTTTAGTAAGGAATGCTCCAGTGTCAACACCAGTCCCTCTGTTTTACCTACTCGGCCAGTATTCCAAATACCTCCACAAATTACCACATTTTAAGGAATTTCTTCTGTCTACCGATTTTTCACTTCAATGGGTCACTGAATGCCCTCCTAGACAATTAATTTTGCCTGAACATGAAAGCGCAATGATGGGAAATGCTATCATTATTATTTCGTGTGTGTGTGGGTGTGTGTGTGGGTGTGATCAGCGTGCTACCGTCAAGTCTTTTCCATTTGCTACCTGCTTATTGTACGCCGACATGCGAAGGAAGCTTAATTCATGCATTCAGGCTCGATTGAGGGCTTGGTGGTCTGGGAGCTGGAGGAAGATATTGGCGCAGAGGACGGATCGGGGAATGGTGGTCAGATTATGGGAGGCACCCCCGGTTCGGTGGACTTCTTGCCAGACAGCCGTCGTCTTCCGCTGCAGGCTGTCTATGGTAGAGCGTACATGCGGGATAGTTGGCCTGCCTACGTTGAGACGAAAGAGATGCGACGTATGGGTCCTGCCGATCTCCGCTGCCTGCCGCAGCGTCTCCTCGGGATGCCACTACTGCACATTGCATCCCGGCACTCTGAGGCAAGGCGATACCAGGATGCCAACAGTCAATCGACTGAATCGGCTCTCCTCGCCTGTTCGGGCTGCTGTTCAACCCTCTGGCCCGCCAGGTCTGACGCGGATCAGAAGGCTGGCTGGCAGCTGCCACACAAGTTGCATGCTGATTTCTTTCAGTCCTCTGTCGAAAACTTTATTCTTAAATCTATTCACTAAAATAAAATGATTCACTGCAAAGTATCTCGGAGGTGGGCAAGATCCTATTTCGTAGCCGTACATGTTGGAGGTTAGGGTTAGGGACTGCGATTAGGTATCAGGGTTGTGGGTTGCAGTTGGGATTAGGGTAATGGGGTTAGGCTGGGATCTGTCTACTGCAGGTAAGGCAACGAAATGAGATCTGACCCGGAGATTGTTGTCGTTTATTCTGAGTGGCAGATAAGCGGATTACTGTGTGTGTGTGTGTGTGTGCGTGTGTGTGTGTGTGTGTGTGGGGAAGAGGGAGGGGGATAGGGTGGGTACTGCCGACGCAATTGCCCTGAGCAGAGGACCCGAGATAGTTCGAAAAGGGTGGAACCCCCTTGCTGTTCGCGCTATCTGCGCATGCAGAACTGTTATACTGATTGTTAGAAAAGTGCCACGCAACGGGTTGGAAGAGGCTAGGTCTGAGAGCGCAGCCCTGATTCACTCTGCTGTTCTCAGCGATCCGGCATTAATGGTAATGACGGTGGTGGTGGTGGTGGTGGTGGTGGTGGTGGTGGTGGTGGTGGTGGTGGTGGTGGTGGTGGTGGTGGTTGTCGTCGTCGTCGTCGTCGTCGCCGCCTCCGCGGGGATTGCTGCAGGGATGATGGTGATGGTATTGATCGAGGACGACAGGGCATGGTGATGAGGAGCATCGGTGATGAGGGCGGCCGCCATGGTGGACGTCGTGGACATTGGACTTGGTGCGGTCGGAGAGGGAGCGGTTGAGGTTGTCGGGCCGACGCATTGAATCCAAAGATGTCCAACATGCCTGATTTGCGCGTGGAATGCCTGTTGAGAGCGCGGGCAAGTTTGGAGGTGGTGGATGTGTGCGTTGTGGGCCAGGGGTCCCCGAGGCTTGCGTGCTTCCCTTTCATATTTGACAGCATCTGTCTGGCTTGCATCATGGATGGCTGCTCCAGATTTAGGGAGTAGGTCGACGGTGATGTCGGAGAATGTGGATGTTTGACTGAGGACACATTTCAAGTTCACAACTTACCTGCGGCAACTGCCTGACGAGTCTCCCGCACGTCCTTTCACAATTGAAAATCTGGTCCGAACAAATTTGTCTTTCCTGACTTTTGAGTTCGGAATCTTCGTGTTACCGACCATTTGAAACTCCCACGTCAGCTCCTCATTACGACAGATCCGCACCTAGACGCACCACCACGCCCCCTCGTTCACATCGAACACCAACCAGAATTTTATACAACAAGAATAAAGTGCGGGGGCGGCCACCGACAGAATGATGTGGAGATATTGTCATGCTGCAATAAGCAAACGAGGAAACTGTAACCAGCAAGGCAAACACCCCCAACACGCCCGCGCTCTCAACAAGCATTCACACGCAAATCAGGCACGTCGTATATCTCCAGATTCAATGCGCCAGCTCGACAACCTCGACCTCTCCCTCTCCGACCGCACCTGATCCAACGTCCATGACGTCCACCATGGCGGCCGCCCTCACCACCGATGCTCCTCATCACCATGCCCTGTCGTCCTCGATCAATACCATCACCATCATCCCTGCAGCAATCCCCGCGGCGACGACGACAACCACCTCCACCTCTTCTACTCCTGCCACAGGTCAAGACGATCCCGATGACCCGATAGTTCGACCGTCGATTCCGACGATGCCCATCGTATACTGCATATCAGGGTGGGAACAGGACGGTGACTTGTGCGTGAATTAGTTTATGGTGATAGTAGGCTTACGCAGCATCTACCGCACTCTCTCCTCCAACTCCCCACCTGGATCAGGTGTGAATACATTGTCAAGAAGACCGGAGGGGGGAGGACGCAGGTGGATTACACGGTCGAGTCCACACCTTGACGCTCCACTCCACACCCTCCGGTCCACACAGCAAATGACCAGGTTTTGACCAACAACAATAACTGGGAGGAGACGGCAGGGGCTCCAGTTTACGCGACGTCTGCCGGCAACGGAGTCTGCCACCGTAGCCCCGAAATGTCAGCAATTGTTATAGTGCGCAATCCGATAACGCCTGCCAGAATCCTATATGGCCCCCGTGTTGGTCCATCGCATTTACCACGTTGCCCCTTTTGGGGGGCACTCTCGATGACCCACCAACCACCACTTCCACCACCATTACCACCGCCATCCCCAGCGATGTGAACTTGGTCCTAACCTGTCGCCGCTGTGGTCGCACGTTCACTTCACGCATCGGCCTCGTTGACCACTTGCGAACCAAATCAAGTAAAATCAGTGTAAGTGACAGAAACTCTTGAAAACTCCGTTTAAGAAAAATAGAGGTCTGCACGGAGAACAGCTAAGGTGCAAAAACTTACACCACGCGAAATACATAAGACCGATAGTGAAACAAGAGTGCTGGATAGCTGGTGAATTTGCTAAACAACACTGAGCAGCCTGCGGAATGCATTTGTGCGCAATATGTTCAGTAGGTGAAAGTTAATGCGAACGAATGGGTTACTTAAATCGGGGTAGTAGCATTTCCAAAATTATATTAGTGACTTATTAGATGGGGTTTGGGAGTTCTGGCTGACCTTTAACAGGTGAGTATTCGGACGCCTCTTGGACACACTCACGCTGGTGGGATGCACGACATATGTCGGTAAAGAATTCCCCCGTCGAATGATTCTTTGCGAGAACAAGAAGGAACGTCGATTGACGCGGTACAGTCCCTTTTTAAGTTGGCATTCGCGACGCCGGAGATTCGTCCTCGGTGTCATCTCGAAAAGACTTTGCCAGTACACATCATGCCCAGGTCGCCGTAACAACTAAAATCTGTATGAAGGTCATCTCTGTCTTGTCCATAATGGAGGGGACAAAGGTCTAAGGCGGTCAGGCGCTGTTCGTACGTCAAATTGTTGAGTTCAGGAACGAGCTTTGTAGTACGTCGTTGTACACGTTCATGAATATCTATGTCTTTCCAAAGTCACGGCCGGGAGGCCTCTGCTGCATATTCCATGTGTAGCCGCACAAACGTCCCGTATACCCTGCCGAATATATCCGCATCTAGCTTGATAAACTTTCTACGTATTGTCCTCATAGTCGACGTTGCCCACACTGAGACTTTGGAACACTGCGCTATTACACCTAGATCGTCTTTAACGAATACTCCAAGGTCTTTTTGCACATTTACGACTTTAAGTGTTTGATTTTCCAAGAGCTACTGTCAGGGAGGGGCATTGATCATTCGGCTCGCTGACATTATGTGCATTGCCAGACCTTTGTCGATATTGACTTTCATGCACCAGAGTTCGCTCCATGTATGCAGCCTTACAATACCCCACTGCAATATATGGGAGTCTCGCTCATCCTTTATCACCCTCCGGAGCATAAGATCATTTACAAAGAGCGCTATATCGGATTTCACCACCTATACTGAGTCATTTGCATAAATAATAAATAGGAGCATCCCAAGAACTGATCCTTGTGGGACTCCGCTTTTAACAGATGCACATTTTGAACAGTAGCCACCCACAGGACAATTTTGTCTACGTTCAATTACGAAATCTTGAATCCAGAATAGTTGCTCTCCTCTAATCGCTAAGCCTAACATCTGCTGGATAAGGCGCTTTTGTGGAATGCACTCAAAGGCTTTGTTGAAGTCAAAGTAAATGACGTGAACTGGCTTCCCTTCGTCCAATATTTTTGACTAGGGTTCAAGCAATGTAAGGAGGTTTGTAAGAGAGGACCTCCTTAGCTGATTTGATAACGTGATGTATCAAGCAATATAATTGATTTTTTAAATTATCCTCCCCATTAGATTACAGCAGATGCGTGTCAGACAGACCGGGCGGTATTTGGTGGGATATACCCGTAATCCTACGTCATGGATGGGTATGATATTTGGCCATTTCCGTGTATCGAAAAGTTTGCCAGCTTCAGGAGATTTTTGAAAGATGATAAACAGTGGTTCGTCTAACTCTTCAGCCAGCTGACGTAGGAGTACACCTGGGATCTCATCTGATCCAGGCGACTTGGCCAAATCCCCTTTCTTTAATTCGACCAAAACTAACTTCGGTGTAGATAACATTGTACTTCTAAATGAATCCATCGCACGGCGACCGACGCATCAGTGCCAGGAGTTCTCACATACACTTGCCGATTCTGCCCTCATCGTCCACATCGTTCGCGCACATTCATACATTGCATAGCCTTATTCAGCCACATTCGTGCTCACAACAGCAGAATTAGATCCAGTATCGACACACCAAGCACACCATGCACATCCACCAACCCGCCCACCTCCAGCTAAATCAACTCCCTATCGACCAGCACGCCCATCACTACCGACATCACAACATCATTCGTCAACACTGTCACCGCACGTTTAGCTTACATATCAGCCTGGTCGGCCACGCGAGAATCTATCGCACTGAGACTGCCGAATCATTGTCTGAAGTACCAACATACACCAGACGTCATCGCCTCAATTGCCCGCATTACTCGCTCACATGCAGCCATTGCACGGGCCAATTCGGTCGCATGCGCATTTAGGAGAAGTTGCGGTAAATTATAATAATTAAGTATATATGAGGGATATAGGCAGAGCCTTTGAAAACCCTAGTGACAGATAGACGTATGAAAAAAACATGCAGATATTCACATAGCAGTTATGCCAGTCATTGATATAATGTAAATGTTTGACCATCAATCATAAAATTATTTAGCCTTATTTGAAAGTCTCAACGTTTTCCGCTAAGACAACAGAGTTCGGAAATTTGTTCCATCCCTCAGCCAGCCGGTGAGAGAAGAATTTGGTCCGCAACTCGAGTTTGCCATATTTCGTCTTCAATTTGTATTGGTGCCCTTGAAGATTTGTCGTCCGCGCCAGCTCGAAGAAATCGTCAAACTGAAGAGCACAGTCTAGCCCTCGGACGATCCTGAAGGCCATCATCATATCCCCTCTGTACTGCCTATAAGAGAGAGGAAATATTTTTAGCTTCTCCAGCCGTCTCTCATAAGGTAAGGTACTTAATCCGCCGACTAGCCTGGTCGCTCTTCTTTGTACGTTATCCAGTAGGGTGTAATCTTTTTTCGTCCATGGAAACAAACAAAGATAACACCCTACTGGAGAACGAAGACATGACTGCATCACCACGCATAAACGCCTTCAGTATCCCACACCGCCGGCTCATCTCATGCATGTGGAAGGCGTGTTTTTGGTCCATTTCTCAGTGTGGCCTCTCTATCCCACGTGTCGTCCGAGCGGTCTACCCATTGCGTGTGTGGGAGACCCGGCCGTGTGCGTGGCACGCACAGACGAGGTGTTTGCAGTTACGAGAGCCGGCTTTCCAAATCCCAGAACCATTCGGTTGACCGGTTCGTGCGACTGATTGTCTACGGTGTAGAGTAGAGTGAATGTAGTCGACTCTCAACGCATAATTTCTCCCTATAAGCAATCTGATACCCTTGAAGCTACCACGGGGCGCCAAAAGCGTACCGTTGGAGGGCCAGCCCATGCATCTGGCAAACATGGACGTGCTTTCAATCTCTGTCAGCAACTGCGCCCGCCTCCGGTATCAGGCAGCTGACTGGTTTGGACAGCTGCTGGGTACTTGGAATACGAGTAGAGGGTGAGGTCGACTGTCTCCGCGCATATTCCTCACAAATGCTCATTTTACAGGTGAATCTATTTCGGAATCTATATATGAAGTTAATGAGACTGGTTCTTTGACATTCTTTAATGACACCTCACAGGCCATCT